GGAGCACACGCTCAGCCCTGACTCACAGCCGGGCTGGCATTGTTGGGAGATGAGGTCTCCCGGTACAGGTGTAGGGGACAAGATCTGGGGGAACCCCCGCATTGCCAGTCCTTGAGTCAACATCGAGAAGGCAGCTTTTCCTTCTGCTGTCAGAGCCAATCCCAGTCGGATTGCAACAGAGACATCCTGCTATCAAGGTCGTAATCTGTTCAGTCTATTCAAAAAGGAAGGAAGAAATAAAACACGGGAAACGAGAAATTGTTTTTGGAGGAGGGAACCAGGAAAGGATCCGACCAGTGCTGTGATTCAGGCAGAAGCGTGCTCGCTGTCCGACCCACAGGCAGCAGAGCAGGTGGCAGTGTCATCGGCATCGTCCCAGGGAGGGTAGGACGCCTGACAGTGACGACTGACAGCGTTATAATGCGTTATAGCGAGAAGAGTTCCCGGGGCTGCCGGGTGGATTGCCTGGGCGTCGGGGAGTGTGGTGGCACCGGAGGCTTGGCTGCGTTTGCCGCCGTGGCAAGCTTCGCCGCTGCTCCAGTTTAAATCCCGTTTCGCCGTTTGATGGGTGGCCCTGTGTCCCCATCATTCGGCAGCAGCAGGAGAGTTTGGGAGAAGGCAGGCAGCTTAGCTAAAGGAACTTCCCCTGCTCAGGGCAGCACAGGCCCCGTGATACGGAGAGGGTAATGCCAGGGAGCAGGTAAACCCCATACCCTGCCTGGCTTCCCCTCTTCATACTCCAAGGGAGGTCCCGCTTAACAAGGGTTTTATGAGCAGCAAGTAAAGGATCTGCCTCTCGTCTGCATCAGCGCCGCCCCCAGGAAGGGGGTTCTTATCTCGTCCTCCTTCCCTTTTTATTTTTTCCAAGCTTTATTTCAGTTCCTTATTTTAAAATGCTAGCACCAGAGCAGATTTGAACCATCACCTCCATTTTAGGGAGACGTAGTCCTCCCCCAGCATCAGTGAATCGTAGACCTGCAAAGACTCGCCCGCTACCGGTGCTGGGAGCCGTGCAAGGCGGTGACTAAGCCGAGTGTCTGGGATGCTGGAGCCAGCTGCCAGACCGGGGAATGGTGAGTGTGGAGGGGAGAAGGACTACTGTAGCTGAGTCAGCCCTCCAGCCGCTATGAGAGCTGGGTTGTTGGGTTTGCCTGCAATGAGGCTGCACGCCCACGCTGCTTCTCTAGCTTGACATCTGTTCTGGAGGCAGGGGGCACGTTCCCCCCCTGCACAAAGCTCTGGGATGCTCTGGGAGCCCGACCTTGCCATGGTGCTGCGGAGGGCCAGGCTCTGCCCAGGCTCTTGGTGCCTTTCTGAAGGGGCTCCTGGACTCAAAGGGAGCCAGAGAGCCCTTCGGTGTTTCATTAAAGCTGGATTTGCCCAAGCCATGTCTAGGGAGGCAGGCCTGTTTCACCTTATCAGGTGGGAAGCAGGATTTCTCCATCTGTTATCTGCGTTGCTCTATGTTTAGGACGGGCCTCCCTGCCCTCATCTCATCCAGAGCACCTCCCTCTTCGTTTCCCTCCTCCTCCGTTACCTCACCCCACAGGCATCCTTCTGAGATGCACCGGGCTCCTTCCTTCTCCCTCATTTAATAGCATTCTTCTTTTTCAATCTGGTGTGGTACTCTCCATCTCGCCTGCAAAGCACAAAGCCGCTCTTTCTCCCACTCGTTCCTCTGGACTGGGGTTAGCATTTCAATTGACAATTGTCCCATTGATTTGCGTGCTGACGGTGGGGTTTGCAGTAAATGCCAGGCAAAGGGACTTGGCGGGGTTAGCGAGGCTCTGGAAATGAGCCCTGTGTCTTCTGAAGCTCCGGACTCGATTTTGGAGGAAGGGTGGCGGCAGGGTCGTGCCTTCCCCTTTCCAGGGAGGCGAGCCTTTCATTGCAGTGTCAAAAGCAGCCTTGGACTTGCTAGGAGAGCAATAGTGTGGGCCATTAGATGCCCTCTGTCTCGTCATCCCCGGCTCTTGAAGCCGTTTATACCCCAAGCTGAGCTGTTTAAGGCAGAGCGGGGGCTGAAGGCCAGCTTTGCAGGTCAGCCGGAGGGCTGGTGCGGAGGCAGAGGGACCCCAGCACCCGCTCACAGAAACACTTTTAAAAGGCTCCCTTCCAGAGCAAGTTAAATCAGCGCTGGAGCCGCAAACACGCTTCTGGGCCTGGCTAGCAGAGCTGTTTACTCTCAGCTTAGTGATTCAGTGTAGTCCCCGGGGAGCTGTAGGATAAATAATACGTTGGCGCCAACCAAATTATTGTTTTGTTTGTTTCTGGCTGTTTGAAGAGAAGTGTGTCCTCGCAGGTTGGCACGGCTCTCGGAGCTGAGCGTAAGAAAGAGGCAGTGTTGTGAAAAAGCCTCAAAACAAAACCAAGGGTAATAGGAGCACGCGGGGCTGAAGTGTGCAAAAGGGTGAGGCGGAGGAAGAGGAGCGGGGAATGGCTGCAGGTGTATATTTTCCTGGATTAGCAGCAAATTTAAGGGTTGGGCTGGAGGTTTGAAAACAAGAACAAAGTTTGCTGAAGTCCAGCCAGACCTGCTTGCGGCGTGTTGGTGATGGGTTGTGCTGGCAGTGGTAGCTGGATGTGGGAGAGGGCTTTAGGGGCTCCCGTGTGCGTGCGCTGTTGCCTGCCTGCTCCGCAGGTTGAGCCAAAAGGGGGTTTTTGAGGACTGCTGGGAAGCGGGGAGGTGAAAAGGGGATTAGTCCTCTCCTCCCCGGCAGGCATAGACTGAGTCTGTGGCTGATGAGGTTCCCCGGGCTAGCTGGCATGCCTGGCTGGCTTCCCGCTTGTAGGGCCACTTAGGCAAATGAGTTGCACAGTCACTCTGAAAAGACTCAATGCCAGCTTCTCCAGCAGGCAAAGCACATGCTCAGGAGTTTCTCCGAGTCCTTGGGCATAGGAGAGACGGTAGGGCTGGGGAGGGGACGAGGAGCGGGCAGGGACTGCCATCCAGCCGGGCTTTCCTGGCTGCGGGGTCCCGACTGCCGAATTCCCCCCTGCTGCCATGCAGCCCCGTGGCCTCCGTCCCACGGTGCAGGGGAAGGGCAGCCTGGGGGTGTTGCGTTAGCGAGAAGCTGTGGGCCGGAGGGCAGCGATGGTTTCTGTACCATGGCACACCTCCACCCTCTCTCTTTGCGGCTGAGGTGCCCTTGCGAAACAGCGGCCCGTGGGTCTGGCAGGGTTTCCCATCACCAGACAGTGGCTGGGAGCAGGCCCCCCCGGTCCCCGTTAGCCAAGCCGTTGATGGGAAAGCCTTGCTGGCTGGGTGCCGTTTAACCCTGCAGGGATTAGAGACCCCGAGGAGGCGCGACCAGCGTACTGAAGTGGAGAAAAAAGCCACAAATCAAGCAGGCATTCAGTAGCCCCAGTGACCTCTAATACATCTTTTTGGCTTTCAGCTCTGCGGAACCTTGGCGGGACCCCTGCGCAGCATGCTCCGGGCAGAGGGGGAGCGCTGGACTGTGCAAAGATTGTCCTTTGCCTGTCCTGCCAAGTGCCCCTATAAATAGAGAGGGACACGTGCCATTGATTAATTGCCTGTCTGTGCAGGCAGCCAGCTCTGGAGGCAGATGCAGCCTTTGTCTGTCTGCTGGGAGCGGCAACACTTGCCAGGAGAGAGGCCCTCTCTTCTTTGGAAAAGGGAAAAGAGGGAGAGATGAAAATGGAGTGCCCTGTCACACTAAGCAGAGGTCAGACCTGATCGGAGACTTTTCCCCCTCGGAGGAGCAATACCTCTCATGTCATTGCTGCAAACTGCGATAGGGGACAGGATAGCCTACATGCATTGCACCCTGCCACGGAGCTGGGCCCCGGCACGGCTGCTCAAAGCTGCCCAGATGTGGCTGCACCATCCTGGAGAGGGATGCAGGACCAGCAGACCCCATCAAGGGACCGCAAAAGCCTCAGGGGAAGAGGCTCACAACTGCGCTGCGGTGCAGGGCTGGCCTCCCACACCTGAGCTGGCAATGCAGAGGGGAAGGGAGGATGTTTTTAGGAAAGAGATGCTGGAAAAGCCAGAAGGTGAAAGAGGAAGGAAAGAGGGGAGGACAGGCAGTTCTTCCTCCTAGCTGGGCCTGGAAAGCTTCCCATCTGCAGCAACCGGTTGTGACACGGGTCCCAGGTCTTGCAGCTCACTTCTTGTTCACATCTTGGGCGTGGAGCCCACGAGTCGCGGTTTTACGTGCACCCTTCCCCTGTCACGTGTGGGCTCTGGCCTGGGGGTTCCAAACCCTGTCCATCCCTCCTGGCTCTTGGAGGGAGGATGCTGACAGTGCAGCCGGAGGCTGGCAAGGAGAGGTGTGATGCCGGGCTGTGGCTGGTAGGAGGTGATCTGCCCCGTGGGCACGGCGAGGTTGGCCCCCAGCTGCAAGGCAGCGCAGCAGCTCCTCTCCCATTCAGCCGGATAAGAACTCACAGCTCGTTAAGCATGTGCAAGGTCCCAAAGCAGGGCACAAAAACCTGCAGGCATGTCAAATGCAAGAGGGTACAGAAGCCACATCTATGTGGCAGTTGCCTGGAGTGGTTGTCAGAGGATGGCCAGAGAAGGGAGGAAGCCCTTCATCCCAAAGCTGGGAGGCAGGAGGCACTCGGCCATTAGAGCAGGCGGGAAGGCAGCGCTCACTTGGCTGCTGCAGAGCCAGTTCTAAGTCACTTTGAGCTTCTGCTCTCCTACAAGAGCTCCTGCAGCAAAGTTTCCCTTCCTCCTCCTCTTCCTCCATCACCAGCCCTGCAGGGGCCAGGCGGGCCACTCCATTGTGCAGCTCTCCTGTCCCCTGGGGCCAAGGGGACAATAGCTCAGCTCTGAGCCTGGGACCTGCCTTTCCCTGCCTGCCTGGCGCTGGGCCAGCCGTCCCAGGGGGCCCCCAGCCCCGTGTCCTTGTTTTTCTCATCACTCGCACCGAGGACATGGAAAGGGAGTTGATCAGCCTGAGTTGGCTGCGGGTGCTCTCTGCAGTCAGCTGTGGTTCCCCTGACGAGCGTCTCCTCTGTGCTGTTCCTAGGTGCGAAAGAATATGCATTTCCCAGGAGCGAGAAGTACCCAGTCTTCTATCATAAAGAAAACAGCTCAGCCATCTACATCGGGGGAGAGGGAAAACTTTATTACTATGACTTTGCAACCTATGAGAACTACACGGTAAGGGTGCTCTGCTAACAAGTTTGGCCCCGGAGCCCTATAAGAAAGTGTCCAGCATCCATCTCACAGCCCAAACGCTAAATACCTTGCTCAGTGTCTTTGCCAGCAGCGGAATCAGGCCTGGAAGGGTCTGGTCCCTGCCCAGCCTGCCCCATCCATCTGGGAAGCTGCAACGTCAGTGTGATGAATGGCTGCAGCAAGGGGGAAGTCTCCTACACTAACTGCGGCTGGGTTCTTCCCAGGCTGTGATCCTTCTGAGGTCTTTGCTGCCCCAGAGGGAAGATTTTTCTGGTGAGGGACCCTTTCTTTAGCATGAGAAGGGATGCTTAGACCCATGTCACTGGGGAGAAGCTATGTTCCCATCCCTTTCCATTGTCGGAGCCCAGGCTGCTTTTCCTCAAAAGCAGGAAGTTCTGGATCAGCTGGGCACTGAGTTAATACAGCAGGAAAACCCCCCGGTTGGCTTTCTTGTCCTTCTCAAACAAGTCGGTTGCTGAAGTTTGGGCCCAGATACTTCCCTTTTTGTTCCCAGGAACAGTGTGGTTCATGTGTCCCAACCTTTGGACACCACCACTCACTACTGGAACACCCATTCCCCGTAATGGCAGATCCTCTCCTGAAATCCTTTGGAGAGCAGCCCAGGCCGGCTGCCAGTCACGCCTGCTGCTGTGGCCCTGCATCCCCACTTCTCCCCATCACCACGAGGGCCTGAGAGATCCAGCCCAGCTTCCCCAAGGGTTTTCAAATGCTGAGGTGGGGAAAAGGGCTGCGTTGCAGTGTTTAATGACCTTCTCGCCAACGTGCTTGATTTGCTTTGCTTCTTGTGAAGAGAGTGACTAGCGTGTAGTGCATGGGACTGAGCCCACGTCGGCTGGCTTTTAGAGGGAAGGAATTAAAGCATATCTCTCTCTCTTTTATCCTAGGAAGACTTCCCAGTGAAAAATGAAGGACAGTGCATGATGCCTGGGAGTTCGGTAGGTCTCACCTGTGGTGGAACAGCATGTGAAACAGCTGGATGGGTGAGGGTTGGAGGACTTGAGTTGAAGGACTGCTTGGGGAAGGAACTGTGTATGCTCCTCACCTGCTCGCTCTCTGTGGGTGAAGACCTCCAGTGGAGCAGGAGATCAGATGAGAGGATAGTAGTTTCCTCCTCTGGTTTTAAGACCCATGAAAAAGCTAGGAAGCCATATAGCGTGCTTGGTAGTGCTGTGGGCTTGGAGCTGTGGGGCTGTGCTCCGCCATTCGCAGCCACTCATGCTCCTCTTCTTTCTCTTGCAGGAGGACAATAAAAATTACCTCACGTTAGTGGAGAAGTATGGAGATGGGATGTTAGTGTGTGGGACCGGCGCCTGTGCTCCCACCTGCTGGAACTTGGTATGCTGTGGCCACCTGTGATGGGACCAGAGCAAAGCACTTGTTTTGTGCTAACTCCATCTGTAAAATGGTGCCCTGATCCCCCTTCCTTTTCAGAGTGCTCCGAAATGCCCAAATCCCAGCTCCCTCGAGGAGCTTATGGTGACATGGGACAGCCTGCATGAGCAGAGGTCCGTACGTGCCACGTCTGTGCTCACCTGTCATAGCCCCCCTGTCCTCACCTCCTGCCTGCAGCAGGGGCTCTCCTGGCCCATTCAATGATGGGCTGCGTCCTTCCCCCATTTGGGCTGTGCCAGCTAAGGAGTGCTGCTTTCCTCCTGCCCAGGGGTGGGTGTGGGCACCTGGCTCCGCTGCCTTCCCTGAACTGATCTTAGGGACCATTTCTGTCCTTACCCAGACGCAGAGAAAGGAGAGCGCTTCGTGGGATGGGAGAGGTATTGCTCCTTTCACCCCTGACTCGAATACCCTCGTCGTCGTTGACGGTAAGTCTGACTGCTCACATAATTTTCAGTTGTAGTGCTGTGCAGGAAGGCTGGGATCTCTGTGACAAAAAGGGGCACCTTGAGGCTGCTCCAAGGGCTTTGTCCCTCTGCTCTAGTTGGTGATCGGCCTTAGCGCTTCTTGCTTTTGCCTCCTTCAAATGTCTTCTAGGACAGAGCATGGCACAAGGTTGTTTATTCCTGTCCAGGGCATGGGGGTTGAGTCTCTGTGCGGGAGGGTAGAGTGCAATGGAAAAAGCGGGGAAGGAGGGTCCTGGAGTAACTCCGCTGCTCTGGACCTGGCAGAGGGACAGATGAGGATCCTTCCCAGAGATTGAACAAGAATCCATCCCTGCCACTCTTTAAGGAAAAGGACTGGGGGGGAGTTCTGCAAGGCGTGCTCAGTCCTAGGCAGTGAAGACTGGGTTTCTTGACCTGTATCCACCATCTCTGTGAGTCCATGTGCCCAGAGAGTTCTTGGTTCTTTGTTTTCTTCTCACAAACCCTTCTGCCCCCTCTGGAAACAGCCTGCTGCAAATGAGGCTTCCTATCCCACAGGTCATGACATCTACTCCACCATCAAGAAGAGCCAGCAGAACGGCAAGATACCCCGTTTCCGTCGAGTGAGAGGGGGTGGAGAGCTCTACACAAGCGACACAGTGATGCAGAGTAAGTACGGGGGAGATCCTGAAGACGTGGGACCTGCCGCTTTGCCCCACCAGGTAGATCAGTTGGACTCCTTGTCAGTCCACAACCGTGGGCCATAAGTACACAGCACAGCTTGGAGGGGTACGTCCTCCCTGCCCAGCTGGGGTGTAGTTCCAGAGCTTCTTGTTTGGGTTCGGTCACCCCTAGAGCTGTGAAGAGGGCTGATCTGGTCCCCATCTGCAATGCCAGTGAGGAGGGATCCAGCAGCTCCCTCCAGCTCTCTTGCTGCCAGCTGGGGGAATTTCACCTCTTTGTTTCTGGGACAAAACAACTGACAAGTGAGTTCCTCTTGCTCAGGGTGAGGAGATTGGGAAATGGAGAGAAATGGGCGGCAAGTCCCCTATCAGATGCTGGAAGGAACTATGGTTGTGTAAAGGTGCCCATCAGCTGCCGTGCGGTGATGGAAACAGGAAGAACAACTTCCACTTCGGGCAGTGACTCTTTCCAAATCCCCAGCCCGGATGAGACCTTGAAGCAGGAGCATGTTGGGCTGTGCATGGGACAGGGTGGGGAATAGAGAGAAAGGACCCTCCTCAGTTTCCATGAGCTTATTACATTGCCTTCCCCCAAGCCTCCCCAGTGACACTGGGAAATGGGAGATTATTGAACCCCTGGCCAAAGAAAAAATCAAATCAAAATGACACCAGGGCAAAACAGAACTTGTGCAGGCAAGGCAATGGAGGTGGCAATCAAGGCACCAGCAAACAAAACTGATAGACCCAGAGCTGCGAGGCTGATCCTGTGCTTACACAGAACTCCCTGCCGTGGGGACTCCAACTAACGATGCTCAGAGGGACCCTGCCGCTGCTGGGGATGCCCTTTATGGCAGTGGTGTATTAATAGGAAGAGCATCATTGGGTTTTCCACAGCAAACACAAACAACAGTGCATCTTGCTCCCACCGAGGGAGCCTTCCTCTATGATAATAGCTCTGCTGCGCAAGAAGGGAGAACGGGTTTCCTTTGCTGCTAAGCAGCCGAGGCTTCACCAGTCTCTGGGGACTTGGCCTTCAAGGGAACGTGTGGAGTTGGGCAGGAGGGAGAGGAAGGGAAACCCACTGGGAAGGTGGCACGTGAAGAACCGCTGTTAGCGCGATGCACCGTCAGGTGTAGAGAATGGGCTCGGACCTGTCCTTTGCCTGGAGCGCAGATGGTGTTTGCATTTCCTCATCTTCTCTGAGGGTGAGTGGTTAGCTGCAGAGCACGCTGGTTTGGTCCCCACTGGGGGCTTTTCAGATGAAATGTGTGTGTTCAGGTCGAGGTTTTCTGATGGCGCGCTTACCTTTTCAGACCCTCAGTTTGTCAAAGCCACCACATTAAGGCATGAAGAGCCTCACCAGGACAAGATTTACTACTTCTTTCGTGAAGACAACCCGGATAAGAGTCCCGAGGCCCCTAGAAACATCTCCCGAGTGGCCCAGCTGTGTAAGGTACCACAGGAACGGTGTATGGTGGGGAGGCAAGAGTATTACAGGGGTGGCAAATGGACGTGCCAGCTCACCTGGTGTTATCAGTACATGATTTGGCCCCTCTGGCTCAATTCTTTCCTCTGCCACAGAGTTTGTGTGCGGTACAGCCATGTCCTTTGGCCTTCCCATCCTCTGGCTCCCATTTTGCCTGTAGGGGAGAGAAAGCCCTGTTCTGTCTCACTGGAATGTTAGAGAGGTACCTGACCGTTGCAGTGACCAGCATCGAATATACTTCTGGAGCATTCCCCGGTTATCCATCCAAGATGCTGGACGGGGGGGACTTTGTGTTCTTCTCTGCCAAATCGTGACTCCCTGCTTTCCCTCTCCCCCAGGAAGATAAAGGGGGAACCAGTTCGCTCTCTGCTTCCAAGTGGACCACTTTCCTGAAGGCCAGCTTGATTTGTGTCGACCCAGTCACCAAGGGCAACTTCAACTGGTTGCAAGATGTCTTCTTTGTCCCTGCGAGTAACTGGCGGCACTCCAAAGTCTACGGGCTCTTCACAAACACCTGGTGAGGGTCTTTGCAAAATGGGGGGATGTCCTGTCCCATGGGCCAGATCCTTTCTTTCAGCCCTTTAGTCTCTCTGGCAGGCACGTGGGTGGAAAACAGCCAGAGTGGACACGGTCAGCGAAGGTGTGATGCACACAGCCATGCCCCAGCAGTAGGGGTGATGGCCAACATCTCCCTGACCCTCTCTTTGTCTCATTGCCCGCAGGGGAAGCTCTGCTGTTTGCGTCTATTCCTTTGGGGACATTGACAACGTGTTTCGGACATCCAAACTCAAAGGCTATAATGGTCCCAACCCAGAGATCAAGCCTGGGCAGGTGAGTGAGTGATAAAAGATGCCCAGATGAAGTGGAGAGGCCTCCCGAGGCCAGGAGCACTGGTCCCTGCTCTGCCACTGCAGTTGTCAGAGTAGCTGGGACAGGTGAGGGGACGGTCCCACCACCGAGCAGCCAGGTGAGAGCTGCGACAGCGAGGAAGGTTGTAGGCACTGCAGGAAGGATTGGAGCTTTGTTGCTGGAAACAAAAAGAGGCTGGATAAGGTCCAAAGCCTTCATAGAAAGCAAGGGGAGATGGGCTCTTACGTGCCTCGGCAAACAGGTCTGTGAGCTCTCGTGTGTGAAGCTGGAGGACAATGTCTTGCCTTGTGTTTACTAACCCCGTGGGTTTCACCTAGCCAACCTGCAGCCCAGCCCTGCGGTTACAGGTGCACCGCTGACCTGGCAGCAAACAGCAGGGTGCGGGGAGGCTCCCCTAAGCCTCTCGGGGGGTGACAGGGCCCGAGTCTCCTAGACTATGACTTCTGCAGGGGGGATCGCTGGTAGGACCTGGCACGAGAACAGCCACAGCAGCCCCAGGGCTTGTGTTTATCCCCAGGGCAGGCTTGTGCATCCTCCTCTGGGCTGAGGTATCCGTGCTGTGCCCTGCCTTACTCTCCTGCCATCGAGCCTCATCCTCAGGGACCTGTCTGACGGTGGTTTTTGTCCCCTCTTGCCGCAGTGCGTTTCCTCTGGACAGCACACCCCAAGTGAGACCTTCAAGATCGCTGACAGCCACCCAGAGGTGGAGGACCGGGTGGAGCCCCTCTCCCCCACCAAGAGTCCCTTATTCCACAACAAGCACCGCTACCAGAAGATCGGGGTGCACGAGGTCTCTGCGGGTGACGGACACCGCTACAACGTGCTTTATCTGGCAACAGGTACTGGAAACCATTCCCTTTGGAGTTCCCTGGAGTTTGCTTTCCCCTCGAGGGCAGCGAACCCAAGGGAAGCAGATGAGACCCCCAGTGCAGAGCGAAGTAAGGGGCTGTGTTCCCAGCTTGGCATATGTTTGTCAAGCAGAAAAGAGCTGCCAAGTCCCAATACAGCTAAATACATCCAATTTGGCTGCATGGCCAAAGACAGGCTGAAAGCAGAATCCCAGCACACGGGATTTACCCAGTTGGGCTGCTTCAGCCTGTGGTAGGTCTCAGGTAGGCCAAGGGTTTTTAGGGCAAGGGAGGGGTAGCACAGCTCTCCCCAGGTGCAGCTTTACACTGTCAAGCGGAAATCCTTTGCAAAGGGACCCACTCTGTCATCTCCTGTCCCTGCTTGCTCTAGTGCAGCAGCGCGGACTTCCTGCGAGGCCAGCACCTCTGGCTGGAGACACAGCCAGCTGATCACAGCTGCCGGCGGTCCTGGGGCAGCCGGAGATGCTGCGGAGCAGGGCCAAAGCAATTCAGCTGCAGGTGAACGGGATGGAGAGCCAAAGGTTGGCGAGCTCAGTCAGGTAGCTGCCTGGGTTCCCATGCAGTGCAGCTACTCACTGCCCAGAAGGTGCAAAGGTCCCTAACCCAGCGCTTCCCTCTCTTGCCTGCCTACCTCCCCGGGCTTGCTCCCTACAGCTGTGCTCATCCCTTTTTCTGCATTGTGCTGGGATTTGTTTACTGGCACTTGTGGAGGGACTTTCTGGGGCTTTTGTTTCCTAATCTGTGATTAAAAAAATGCAGACGGCTCTCAGTAGGTGGCCTCGTTGGATTATGGCCCACGCACGCTCACATTGTTCTTATCTTGCCTTAGCTTAAATGCAGCTAACGCCTTGCAGAGTCCTGCCAGGGAGCTTGCTCCAAGATGCAGGGCTTGGCAGGGCAGCTGCCCACCCTCGCTGGGGCGGGTGCAGAGGTAAGGGCCAGCACCTGGGGGGTCCTAATCCCTGCCTGACCTTGGGTCACATCTTTCACCTCCCCCTGGTCGATGGTGGAGAAGGGAGCGACTATTTGGGAAGGGGAAACCATGCAAGTACTAAAAGAGGGTAAATGATGAGGATTCCTAAGCCCTGTTCCCGCGGGATCTGCCTTCCCACCACTCCACCAAACTGGCTCGTTTTCTGAAATCACCAGTTTGGAGTCGTTTAACCGGGGAGGGGAGTCAGTTTAATTAGAAAAACAGAAAGGCAAAACCCCAAGTTTCAGCCTCAGGCGGTGAGATGGGGCTCACGCAAGAACAGGCCAGTGATCAAAGCAGAGCAGAGCTCGAGAGCGGTTGGGTTTTCTTGCTGAGGCCGTTACAGCGCAGCTGATCAAAGCAGGCACAGCCAGGTCCCGAGGGGCGGTGGGAAAGGGGTTCCTCGTGGCTCTTGGCTGGGCGAATGACAAGGCTCTGCTGTGGGAAACACTACTGTCTGGGGGACAATTTCTCAGCAGAGCAAGCAGGCTCCTTCTGAGAAAGGTCCTGTCTTCTCTGGGTGGCTCGTTTCGGGAATCCAGTCAAGCCTGGCTCTGCAGAGTGGGTATTGTCTGCCACAACGAGGGCTGGAGGCAGAGCTGGTTCTCCGCCTGGCTTCCCCACCCCTGCCTGCAACCCCTCTGCCTTGCCTTTCTGCTCTCAGCATGCTTCGTCAGGGCTCTCCCCTCTTTCTTTCCAGACAAGGGATCCATCCACAAGATCGTGGAGCTGCCAGATGGGGTGCAGAACATCATGGAGCTCCAGGTCTTCCCAAAGAAGGACCCCATCCAGTCCATGATCCTGGACCACAAGAGGGTGGGTCTCTGCCTGCTCTGTGGAAAGGAAAACAATGGGTCGGGCTGTAGCTTTAAAAGCGGGCAGCAGGGGAGGCAGGGACAGATGGTTTAATGACAGCCCCTAGGTCTGGAAGTAACCTCTGGGTGGGTTTGTGGGGGGTCCCGCAGCATGCTTTGCTAAATCCTAACAGCTGGGCTGACGTCCCCAGCCCTGGGTAACTCTCTGTGTGGTCAGTGGGCAACGGAGCTTTTCGGACACCACCTCTCCTCTGGAGGCGAGGGAAGAACGAAGCTGTTTGCTCCCTGGGCAAAATCCCAGCACAGTGTTCTCCTCCCCCTCCAGTTTCCCTCTCGTTGTCCAGCCTTGCTGGCAGATGAGCTGTCAGACAGTGCTGGTGCTCCATCCTGGAGCTGACAACACTGCTGTCACCGATGCAGCAAACTGATTTATACACAGGGCTGGTGGGGGAAGGATGGCTGCTTCCCCTCCCATGATAGGGACATACGACTGCATTGCCTGGAGACCTGCCAGTCCTGCTGGTGAAGTCCACCCCAATATCACAGTGAAGCTGCAGGAGAAGTGCTAGACACTCATGAGGTGGCACTGGGACGCAGTGCCGAGATGATCAGCCCCTCTGCTTCCCTCCTGCAGGCGATGCTGTACGTCGGCTCAACAAATAAAGTCATGGAGATACCCATGGACATGTGCAGGGTGTATCGCAACAACTGTGACAGCTGCTTGCTGGCGAGGGACCCGTACTGCGGGTGGTTCAATGGGAGCTGTCAGTCAGTTTATCTAAACCGGTACGTGGCGCCGACAGCTTGCTGTTTCTCCGTCACCTTCAGCTGGTTGCTTTCGTGCGAAAAATACCCACACTCTCAGTATTCCCCTTCCTGCCCAGGGCCGCACATGGTTTTGAGGCCATCTTCCAGTCACAGAAAGAGATGAGCCCGTCATGTCTACACAGTAACAGCGCAGACATCTGTGCTGTCCCCAAAAACTGTGCCTCTGCAGGAGCCCATCCCTCCCGCAGCACCCGTGCTCTGGGGAGGGAGAGGTCAATGAGCACCCAGCCTCTCTTTTGCTGTTAGAAATGTGTGTAGCTCTGCTGGTTGTGATGCTGTTTAAAGCGGTTGATTGTGGTGAGCTGCTGGGTCTCATGTTTGTCATCCACCAACCTCCTAAGTGGGGGTGTGGGGTGTGTTTTTCCCTACCCAGGTAATAGATTCTTCCTTATCTGATCCACCACATCTTGTATGGGCGATTCCTTTCCGAGCCGTGAAGCGCTGCTTCCCTGACGTTAGTGCTTTGTTAATGCTTGTTCCTATCTGCTAGGGAGGTACATCAGAACCTGAACCTGGACCTGTGGCAAGGAAAGTGCCAAAAGAGGGATATTAAGGAAGGTATGTAAAGGTTTTGAGCTGTAGGCCGTTTGTCCAGAGGGCGTTTGGGGCAGGGTAACTGCTTCTCAGGTCTTTGTACAGGCTGTGCCAGATGTTGCAACTCATTGCTGGGGAACTGGGAATGTCCATGCTGAGACCAAGACACCAAGCAAGTCTGAGCTTGGAGTTAGTCACTAGATAACGTATTTCTGAGCTGGGTGACAGGGCTCAAACTCTGTGTTTGCTGATGTCCAGGGAGGAGAGTCCCATGGACTTCACCAGGCGTAGGTCAGGCCCTGCCGTTGTCATTAAATGGCTGTGTAATATGTCCCCATTGACCCAACTGTTCTTCCCTCCAGACTTACAGGGGAATCCGTGGTTCCCGGAGATGCCTGTCTCATCCTCCCCTTCTCAATCTCTTCCAGTAGATGACTATCAGAACATCACAGTCGTCCCTTTCTCCCGCTACTACCTCAACTGTCCCATCGAGTCCCACTATGCCACCTACAACTGGTACCACAACAACAGCCTCATCAAGACCTGCAACACCACCCACCCCCAGCAGGACTGCTTCCACTTCATCCAGAACGTGAGCCACATTCACTACGGCCACTATGTCTGCATCTCGGAGGAGGACGGCTTCAAGCAGGCTCTGGTGAAGGAGCGCCTGGTGAACCAGCTCAGGTTCATGTCCCAGAAGGGCCAGGCCACTATGACGTTTGGCTCTTGGCTGCAGCTGCTCCTGATGGTGGTGTTGGTGGAGCTCTTCCACTGAACACGACAGGACTGTGTTCCCACCATCCTGGCTGCTGCTGCTCTTCCTGCACTTGCTGTCCGCTCCTGGGGCAAGATCCCCATTCTCTTAGTCACTCCTTGGACATTAATCTATGACTGTCCCAAAAGGGGTCCTGGGCAGCAACCCCTCCATCTTTGGCCTTGGTGGGAGAGTCATGGCGAGGAAGATGTGACTGCAGGGCCAGATGGAGCAGGGTTTGGGGACAGGGAGGGAAGGGGTACCGTAACACGCGGGGGACGTTCACAGTACACAGCAGCGCGAAGGGAGCGGTGTCAGCCTCTCCCCGAGCCCGCGCTGGTAGCTCTGTACTGGTTATCTTCCTGAGCCTACCCTGGGTGCGGACGTTCAGGGGACTTCTGCCGATGTGCATGCACTGATCCTCAGGGCACGATGACTCCTCTCTTTGGGAACGTGCATGTGATGAAGAGGAGGAGCCAGCCCTTGGCCTTTCTAACTGGTTGATCTGTGCTTCGCTCCAAGCGGGGACTGATGCCTCCGAGTTTTTAGTGGCTAATGTCTGTTTGGGTTGGCAAGCAGCTGGAACGCTCCCAGCGTCACACGTGAGTCCCGTTCTTGTCTGGAGAATTGGGCTCTGGAAGGGTTTTAGGGTTTGGTTTATTGTTTTTTTTTACAGCTGGCTTTGACATGGGAGGGAGATCGGGAACTAGTGCTGGAAACCTGCAGGCAAGGGCAGGCACAAAGTTAGCGTTTTGCATGGAAAAGCCTTGGAGGATGACTAGATTTGGGGTGTGGGGAAGGACAGACGGAAGGGGACGGGAAGGAGAGGTGGAAGCAGAGCCCAAACCAAACCCGGGAGGCCCTGGGATGAAGTTTTAAACGCACAAATCCTCTGCAGGCAGCTAAGGGCATTTATTTGTGGGCAGCAGGCAGCCCCTGCTCCCAGCACCTCTCCTCCGGGAGAGGGACCGGGCTTCCTCAGGGAAAGGGGCGGCAGGCTGCCGATCTCAGGGCGATGCCGACGGGCTCAGGGGGGCTGCGGCTGTCCCCACCGCCTGGAGCAGATCTGCCTCTCTCCCTCACAGTGAGGGGACAGGGGAGGACCAGGGTTTGCTTCCCCTGGGCTTTGAGGTCTCTGAGCAAGACTAAACTGTGAAAAATGGGATGCTCTCCCCGTGCCCGTGTGCAAGGGGAAATCCCACACCTCGTCCAAGCCTTTCCCAGCCCTCTTGACCGCCGAAATGCCCAGCCTCGGGCTGTGTAACGGAGGGGGCATCGTATCTCATGCTTCCAATAACCTGTCACAGTGGCACAGCTCCTGCTTCGTGCCTGCTCGGAGACACTCAGGGGTGCCCGAGGGGCCTTTTTGGCAAGGGGGAGAGATGCCACATGCCTCGTGACCGCAGACTATGGACAACAGGCCAGAGCTTCCTACTGCACTACATTTCCAAGAAACCCCCCCAAATCTAGGATAGAGCTTCTTACATCCCTTCTCAAAGCACTTTAACTTTGTGAACTAACAAATACTTATTTATTATCAACTGGTGATTACTGTACTTGTATAATTTTATAATATTATAGAAAGTGGGTTCAAATTAGAGAAAAGAAAAAACAAGCAACACAACAGCTACCAAAAAAACCTTTCAGAGCTGTGACCAAAGTGAGAATGTGATCGTTGAAATAAAGAATGGAAAAGAGATCAGGCGAGTGCTGGATTTCTCACCAGGAGCTGAGGGATGCTGCTGCGACGCTGGCTGGGGTCTCCCCTGTCCCTCTTCGCCCACGACCAAGGGCTCCCCCCGCTCTCTTCCATGTCTTACCCGCCTCTCCTCTCCAGCAGCAGCCCCAGCCCAATGCCAGGCCACCCCCCGTGCCCTGGGCTCGCTGCCTTCAGGCTG